GGGACTACAGGTGACAGGTGAGGTGATCCTCCCAGACGACTTTGATGAAACCTAGAGGAAAAAAGATTAAATCTGCCGACGGGTTGGTGCCAAATGGCGCCAAATTGTCAAAATCAGAGGACCATTTTGAAGCCAACAAGTCGCCGCCAACCTGATTGCAAAATTTGGTCGCCACGGGGATCGAACCATCAAGGGTATTATTCACCTCCTTTTTTGGTACTACTAAAATTCAGCGAAAAAGAAACATGCGTCCCTACAATATGCAAGAAACCGTTTTGAAAAAGCGCGGTTTGCTCTGAAAGACCCCCCCCCTCCTTATTAGGCTCGCGATGTACGCCATGATCGGAGCTTATCAAAGCAATGAAACTGCACCAGGATCAGACCCTATATAAGAGTCTGAACATATGGTTAGTGTAGCCGGCTAGGTTAGGCCTAGACCATTGTTCTCATAGAGCTGACTATAGTAGCGAAGTCGGCCAGGTGCAAGGCTGATTCGTGCCTGATAGGATAGATTGCTGATTTTGCCTTGACGGTTGTTGATCCGTGATATACGGAGCCTTTCAAAGCGTTGAGTCGGGACCAGATACCGAGAAGTAGACCCCCCCCCAAATCGAGAAAGAGGGGTCCGCAAGCGCATGAGGCCCTGCCGTCCTTCTAAAATAAACACCAATTGGATCCCGACCCTTGCCTTTAACAACCTATTTTTTTCTTAGCAAAACAGAGGGTATATGATATCACATGAATCTTTTAGAGAGTTACTTTCGTGGGAAAACGATTTGGGTGGTCGGCTGTAGCTCTGGGATTGGCGCCGAGCTGGTGTTACGGTTGGCCCAGCTGGAGTGCAGTATCATTCTATCAGCTCGACGGAAAGAGAAGTTGGACGCATTAAAAACAAAATGTGATGGTCGGTTACCTCATTCCCCTGCGTAAGATCAATCGAAAAAAATCAATATTTTTCAGAGAAATCGTCTACCAGATCATCAGTCGTGTTTCCATTAGATGTGACCAATTTCCAACAACTGGCTGAAGCTTGTCGGAAAGTGAGGACATTCTTTGGAAAGGTTGAGTTGCTTTAAGCTCCTTCAGATATTCGAGTGTTCAGCGCAATGGCAGAAAGCGCTGTTAAGATCAGTTAAGTCACCAGTTCGAGTCTGATTGCACTCCACTTCATCCTTTCCTACTCTTTTTCCCTACCGAATATTTACCAAGCTTGTCGATCCTTAAAAAAATGTCTAATATAACGAAGATGGGCACATTGGTCATGCCTGTGCCCAAATATTCGAAAGGATTATTGATCCAAGTGTTGCGTTTATACCTTTAGGTCGACGTGATCATACTGTGCTGCGGGCCAATCGCAGCGTGCAGAATGGATATCGATTGATCCAAAGGTGGATGAAGCGTGCTTTCGAGTGAATGCTCTTGGACCAACGGTGTTGGCAAGAGAATATCTCAAAACGTTGGAGCCAGATGAAAAAGGTATATGAAATGCTCTGATCCTAGCAGGTGACCCACACATGTAGTCGCGAAGCGGTCGCGTTGCGTAGCGAGTCCGCCTAAGACTCGCGCTCTCCTGCAATCCGCTACCTGGAAAAAAAGTTAAACGTTAATCATGTGAATGAAGTTAATGGAGAGACTTCCATTCCAGACCGATGTGTAACGCGAGCAGCCGCGCTGCCCAGCGGCTTATGTGCAGTCCTTCCTTGCAATGAAAATATATTCAAATCATAGCCGCGCTTTCTAAGGCTTAGATACGGGTATTAAAGGACAATATCGGTTGTCTTTCTTGTTCATTGGTAGATTTAGTGTGAAGTAGGACTTGATGAGGCGAAACGAACCACTCTAAATGCACAATTCTTATGTTGCATTTTTTATCCAATTATTATTTGAGAGGAATCAGCTGACCAGAAACGGACGCGTGCACTCGCGACGCGGTGCTCGAACACTGGAGGCTCTGGCGGCACACGTGAGTAATAACAGGGTTGTGCAATAGCAGCTTTGCTGCTGCCATTGTCTTACAAGTTGACTTCGACCACCACCCGACCCGTCGCTATACGGTACCATCCACGCACGCCGCGCATATGAAAACCTGCTACGACGCAACCGCGCGCGCACCTGCAAGGAATTTTGTCTTCTAGAGCTGAACAGCTGTCAGCAACAAGCCACCTTTTACTGCGTCTTTTTTCAGGACATTTACCACCCACTCATTTCGTTGTCGTGAGCAGTGTGGCCGGAGTCATTGGGGCTATATTGTCGCCATCGTATACGGCCGCAAAACACGCCCTCATGGTGAGGTCATTATTATAAGTTGAACATAATCTGAATACAAAAATTGAAGTTCATATCATGGAGGCGATCATTTTACCTAAACCCTGAAGCACCAAACCTTTATGTCCTTTATGTTCCCAAATTTCCGGAAGTCCCCCAAGAGGCCCCTCGTGCGGCGAAGAACGAGACGTAGCGTGTGCCGTGCGATATGAGACGTAGTATGGTACACTCTGTTCAACCTGACGCCTAACCGCTACAGTATGGGCCTCTTGAGGGACACCCCAAATTTCCGAGCCAGGGTCAGGAGACCCGACCGACACCATTCGTGCGACAGCGCGGCAAACCGTTATCGCAGCGTCCGCCGTGCATGTTAGGCCGATGTCAGACTTTGCGAATCGCGCGATTCGCTAGCGTCTGCGGTCGCGTCGCGGCCAGTGAATCACTCAATTGGCTGGTACCGCAACGCGACGCGCGGACGCTAGCGAATCGCGCGAATCGCTAGTAGCGAATCGCGCGATTCGCAAAGTCTGACATCGGCCTTAGGGGATGTACACTGTAA